AAGAAACCTACATACCTGAAAATGGAAAATGGGAAGAATTCGAAGAAATGAAACATTTTAAGGAAACCAAAGGATATGAATTTGAAGATCAAGTATATGAAGAATCCAAGAAATCTGAATCATAAAGTTTTAGGTATCGAAAAAATTACTTTTGTGAGTTGTCATCAGGCTGACGGTAAATTTGAAATCTTTCCCCCTTGTTTCTGCTTAATATCGGGAAAATATGAAGTAGGAAACAATGTAAGAACATGATGGAAACGTTTTTCTTTCACAGAAATTGCGGTATAAGTAACGGTTTCTTGATCCATTTTGCAGAAAATATGAAATAAGAGTTGAGTGTTTAGTGATCTCTTTGTCTTTGCACCTGTGTATTATATTATGTTTATTATACAAAGTTTCAGTAGAGATTGACATATTGGGCATTTTAAAGTTGATTTCGGATTCGGGTACTGAAACCACCTGGCTATTGTTCGTGCCCTAAACTTACCATATACGATTTACATTAAATCCCTTGAATCTGTCCATCCCACTCATTCACCAAAAATCTTGACTAATTGCACCACGGCGCAATAAATACCTATTTCATGAATATCGTTAATTTACAGTATGGTAAATTTATAATGGAAATGTGGTCATTGCAGACGCAAAAAGCTTGGGTGGATTATATTTGTACCCATTCCATCAAGAGATGTCATCGGCATTGATACTTGACGAGCAGCTGCTTCGAAAATCGCCATTGTCCCCATCACTCTTCGTCTAATCCCGTCTTCAAATAAATCAAGCAATTTTAGATTAACAATCACGAATTCACGTACCCTCGAAACAGCGGGCCGACGAATTTATCAGATTAAGAACAGACGGACAAATAACGACAAATATTTAAAAAAAGATCTTATAATCATGATTAAATTCACGATTATAGCGCGACCATTAATAAAGATTACCTTGTGCGGAGCTGACGAAGAAGGTATTATACCAATACACCGGGTATAGTATAACACCTTCTTGGACAAACAAACGTGAGGATTTCGAAAATTCCATTGGTTTGTTTATTTTATATTCGTTGGCCAGTAGAATATCTTGAATTAAGTAGTCCTAAGTAACTAAGGCAACGTGCTCGAAGTTGATTGAGTAAATAAGGTTTTTGTGTAGAACTGACCAATCCTGCGGTCCTAGTGGCATTAGCACCTAGACATTAAAAAGGACCAGTTTGTTTTTCTTCTTTCGTACACAAACATATCGTTCGTTTTGTACACGACCTTTGGCTATTTAATATCATTTTCTTTGTACATTACTTAAGTAGGTAGTGATATATGTTTGTATATGTAAAGACCGCATATATTGCCATTGAGCTTTTATGCTTGTATTTGGAGATCTAAATCTTTTATATTTTCTTATATCAAAACGTGTTTGTGGCTGCATGTGACTTAGTGATGTGATGAAATAAAACTATAATAAATTAACCAAAATTCAGGATGCCTAGATACAAGAAGCTATTTCTGTTCTACTGGTACATACTACATGGACATTACTAACTTAAATAAAAGACCTCTTGTTAGTATAACATGCACAATTTTTCCATCCTTCACTTCACTACACTCAGAATTCATTTTGATCTGTTTTTTCAGATTTAAACTTGGCTTAGAGGTGTTCTTACTCAGTACCTTATTACTAAGCTTCTCTACCGCTATTTTAACAAAATCGCTTTATGCTGATGCAGTAATTCCATTATAGTACCTACTATTTCAACTAGATCTCCATATCATTTCTCTGAAACCTCATTAATTCATACCTACAATTTTCATTATGGTTTTAAGATCTACAGAATCTTGTTCAAAACTATCACTCGTTATTGGTAGGTACTTTCCGAGGGCCTCAACCTCCCCCGGATGCTTTAAGGCTCGAACAAGGAAGTCACTTACTTCTAGTTTATTGTAATGAAGTTTTTTCGCATTTAAAAGAAACAAGTTCAAAAAATAATCGCAAACGATTTAAAAAAAGCGCATTTCCACATTAACAGTCTTTGTGCGAAAAAACTAGTTACTTCAGGTAAGTAGAGGCAAATAATTTAGTTTTTTTGTTTTCTTACAGGTTATTGATTTCGAATTTTAATTTCATCATCAGACCTTGCTGAAAATAACTGACATGAAACTGATGATGAAATTAAAATTCGAAATCGATAACCTGTAAGAAAACAAAAAAACTAAATTCCTCTACTTACCTGCTTATATATCATAAATAATTTCCATATGGAGCAATACATCAATAAAACTAGTTACTTCAGTCAAATTTGTTTTCAGCAATTTAACCAAAAAATCCGTCCACAAGAGAGTAGCATTGCGCATGTACAACCTATTCTTTGACGGACAGACGGGTGGACAAAGCGGTGGATTTTTTAAAAATTTTTATGAAAATGTGCTAAAAATGGGATTGTGTATGGGCAAGACAAATTTTTTGAATACGCATTAATTTTACTTTTACTCGAGGTGCTTACATACAAAATTTCATTTAATTATCCTGACAAATTAAAAAAATTAGATTCCGCATGCGCAAACCCAATTTTTTAATGAGCATTAGTTTTACTTTTATTCGAGGAGCCTACATACAAAATTCCATTTAACTACCTTAACAATTGAAAAAAATTCTTAAATAAGCATCGCTTTTACTTTTAACTAAGAACAATCAAATTTCAAAGCGATCGGACAGTTATCTTTCACACGGACAGATAGATGGACAGACAGGCAAAGGAACAGACGGGTAGACCAACAGACAGACGACAGACAGCAATACAAAATTATAAACGATCTCTAGGATCGTTAATACAAGGCAAAAGTGTAAAATTATGGAACATGTAAAAAATGGTTTTTTGGTTTTTTTACAAAAACTTTTTTAGTAATAAACGCAGAAAAAATTCCTTCCTTGGTACCTCGCCACCATAACGAACCAAAATGCGAAAACTCTTAAGATAAAGAACTAGTAGCGTCCAGACGAACGGACGGTCACAATAGCGCATTTTTTTTTATTTTTGTGGAATTGCGCTAAAAATCTATAGTTGAGTTCGTCGTGTTTACTCAATTTATTTAAATGGAACATTCCATACGATATGTTTTTTTAAATATTTGAATGTATCAATTTAAAAGGCGTTTTTTGGTGGTCCTATAACTGCGGTAAATAGTTTAAGATCTTTTTGCAATTTAATATGATGTAAACTTGTTAAAACAAAGGTCTATGGCTCAAATTTTTTTGGATTTTTAAATAAACCATTAAAATATCAATTATTATTACGTTGGATTGGAATTAACAAAACAATTGAGCACTATTCAGTAAGTACCGACGTACCGTATCGACAGTATCCGTGACTTTTGCCTTATCTACCACGGTCGAGTACGGTACAATCGTCACTTGATGCGACACCGCTGTCTTTTCTGCTTGAATGAAAAACTCCCAACTGTATAACCATATGGGTATGATATACCTACGAAACCATAAACATTTCCAATGTTAAAACACAAAAAAAACACAAGCGATGGTTTATATGTGTTGATTAAAGGCAGACATGGATTTGTATGCGAAATAGTATGTTCTGCTATATTCTCTAATATCTGTGGAGACATCGCTTGGAATGCCTCACGTATTATGTGTTTCGTATTCTCCTTGATCGTAACAGGAGTCTGATAGATAAAACTGTCCTTTGCAAACTCTTAGAGCAAAAAAACTATCTTTGTTAAGTCGGGAGTTCTGGCGAATTAAACGATTTGGAAACTGGACATTAAAAGAGTTCCTTTAAAAAAATAAGTGCTGATGCGACGAGGAAATGGGGGTTTTGTGTATTCCAGTCGTCCCACTAGACATGTTCCTTCTTACCTCATCAGTAAATAAGAATGAACTCACCATTTAGGATCTTTTTTGTCTGGTTTGTTAGGTTTACTTTCAGCAAAAGTAACAAAATTACTTTGAGATCAGCACACGATAAGCTCAGGCGAAGTAGAAATGGGTCAGGGGTGAATACCAGGGTTCTTGGACACTAGCAAAAACGAAGCAAACGGAAAAAGTAGAACAGTAAAGAGGATAGGCGAGAAAAGAGAATATTTAGGAAAAGGGGAAGACAAGGCAGATTAAGAGATCCTTGTTCTAATCTTGATAAGCTAAAGAAAGAAAATAATTGACAGGGATAGAACTTAAACAATAATTGATGTCACAATCGAGTGTAATTTAGTATATGATCTCAAAAATATTACAAATAGGACACTGTAATTTATTTTATTTTATTTTTATTTTTTTTATTTTTTTATTTTATTTTATTTAAATTAATTTTTCGGGAGATCAACACGAAGTAAGAGAAAGTACCAAGAAAGTAACCAAACGTTACATTAAGGAGTAGTCGAAAATAAATAAAATTACCTTTTGAACTACACGTCCTTGCGGCCTTTTTGGCTCAAGAAGAGCGCCTTTTACCAATATGCAACAGATATCAACACAAACAAAAAATAAGAGGGGTAGTGAATAGGGCGGTACATAAAATATTGCGAAAGCAATGCTACCGTCTGACACTTGGGCAATCGGATATGAAACCGTAATTAATATTTAATAAGAATCTATAATTTATTTTTTTTATCATCCCTCTATTGTTCTGGACTTCCAGAAACTACTTGCACAAATAATTAAATTTACATTCATCAGCAATGACTAACCAATTCAGAATGTAAATCAGTTAGTATGAGCAAATTCTTTGGAGTAAAACAAGTAACGTAACTAAAAATTGTAGATATCGGTCTCGGACCAAGTCTCGAGAACTTCAAAAACTAATTTACAGAGCAACAGTACTAGTATCTCGTGTAACACTCTGGCTCTGGGATCTGTAACTTAATCTAATCTCGTTGACAAACAGAAAGATAAATTAATTAATTTACTGAAGTATCTACCTCGCGTTAACATTAACGACAAAGGCAAAAGATAAATTAAAAGCAGTTGAACAGTTGATTACAGATAAATACTAAATGGACCTCACAGACTACAGTTTATTGAAGAAAATTTTGTACCGAGAGCCACACTGTAAAGACCTACACATAAATGACTATCTCACAAATTGTTCAGAATTTCTATCGTAGGATGCATCTCGTCTTCTGGAATGGTGGGCCCAGGGTTTGCTCAACACTGCTGATGATCGACAGTTGAGGTGTTGGAACATAATTGAAAGAACGGAGCGGCGGCGGCGTGTCTATCCATCGACGTTTTAAAAGATCACTCAGTAGCTCCGTTAGGCACTCGTAACTAAACATTTCGACTTCATCAAATGTTACTGTTGGGGAAAAATCTTACGCTTCATCAATGAAAATATTCTTCGCAACCATACCGTCGGGGGTCAGCGGAGGATTTTGATTAAAGGAACATACACCAACAGTTCGCATTCCTGTACGATATTGGTCCACCTCGATGTGTCCGGTTCGCATTTTATCCATTAAATTGAAAAGGCAATCTGTAAGATTTATGCTCAGTGCATTAAAGATTGGGGACGTTTTACCCAAATGCTTTTTGTCGTAGAGGAGGGGCGGTTTCGTCAGACCCGATCTGAACATCATGCATTGATCCATCAGGTCGATGATAAATTCAACTGGATTCTCTGGAAGGTTACAAAATAATTAGGGTTTTACGACTGGCGTGCAGAGTTGGACGGGTCCTGGGTTACTGGTCACTGGGTCACCTGGGTCACTAAATTAAACTGGGTCACTGGGTCAAAGTCATCTCTTTTCAGTTAGACCCAGTGGACCCATTTTGACCGCAGTGACCCAGTTTGACCCAGTGACAGTTGACCCCAGTTTGACCCCAGTGACCCAGTTTGACCCAAGTGACCAGTTTTGACCCAGCGGCCCAATTTCACCCAGGGGGGGGGGAGCCCAATTCGACCCAGTCACTAGTTTGATCGAATAAACGCCAAGTTAAGGTCAGTGCCCTCGTTCAGTGTACAAGATTATGCAATACATAAATGCTGGTTTGTTGAAATAATACTCGATTGCTTGACAACTGCCATTCTGTGATGTTTGCTTTAATACTGCGTAAAAAACTTTTCAATGTCCCGAATTGATTAGAATAATGTTTATTTCTTTTTGCTTCAGGGCACCCGTTTGCTTACAGTGGTGTTCATTTCACATTTAATTTTTTCTACTAGTTAGCTAAATCCAAATATTCTTTTCTCTATTACTTTCAAATTGACTAACTTGACTAAAACTATAAACAAAATGCATTTGATTTTTTTAGTATTAGTTCTCTTGATGAATTGGGCCTAAGTCTGGTTTGCCGAATATTCATTGAGGAATTTTTTTTTAAATTAAAAAAGTTACTTGAAATTGGTTTTGGATGAATATAACAATAATTTAATTACTGGCCACCGGTCAAGACGGGTCACTGAGTAAAGCTGGGTAAGCTGGGTCACCGGGTCAAGCTGGGTCACCGGGTCAAGCGGTCACTGGGTCAAACTGGTCCACCGGTCCCCCCAAGCTGGGGTTCACCGGGTCAAACTGGGTCAAAGCGGGTCACCGGGTCAAGCTGGGTCACCGGTCAAGCTGGGTCACTGGGTCAATAACTGGGTCAAAGTGGGTCACTGTCCAACTGGGTCAAGCTGGGTCACCGGGTCAAGCTGGGTCACCGGTCAACCTGGGTCACCGGGTCACTGGTCAGTAAACCCTAACTGGGTCACCGGGTCACTGGGTTCACTCTATGTTGACGCCAGTCCAACCTGCTGGGCGTGTGTACTGTAAAATTCCATTACGTGCAAATCGTAACAAAAAATCGGCATGCATGCAGTATGTTATTACTTATTAGAACTGACAATGGACGTAAACATAATTAAAAATGTGTGCAATTAGATTAATTGGCAATACTCGATGTCGGAAAAAATTAAGACTAGAAGTGGTTAAGAAAATCTCTTACCCATCGCGAGGCCACAAACAAGAGCAGGTGTATGGTATCATATTAATATTAACCGCTAATGGTTCTCATGTAATCATTATAGTAAATTTGCTCGTTCCACTTGCTATATATAAACTTGTTGGCTAAATTTAGTAAATTATAAATTAGAGGTTGTTGAATCTACATTTATCAATGAATTTCTACTCTTTGGAGGAATGTGAAATTATATGTCAATTAAAACTGTTGCTGCGCTTCCTTTCTATTTTTAATAATTAACGGTCATTCGATAATTGTTTTAAATAGCAATTGGGTGTGGTTTTCTCCTCTGTTCGTATGTTTGATTGTCAACTGTCAAATAAATGTCTAAAATACCACACGCAAAAATCTGCCTTTAATTCGAAAATATGCAGAAAGTTAAAAAGCGGATGTTGAACAGAATAGTTCACTTATATGAGGAGGGGGGGGGGACCTCTCGCGCCGCCATCTTAGATGAAAGGTACCCAAAACCGGTTGTTTCAAAATAACTGCATGGAAGAACAATTTATTGTCAGAAGCACTCATGATTACATAATCATGAGTCATTACGTCAACATAAACCGTTCAGGACTATATCAAAGAAAGTAAAACGATAATATCACGAAGTTGTGGCTTAGGTCTCTCGGCGATACCACGACAAAGAAAGCGCGCCACGTCCTGTACCTCAAGGTGCAGGTGTGCAAATGAATACCTTTTGGTTGAACCTTTTTGTCGAAAGATCAACAACCGCGAAATTATTTTGAAAAAAACCGATTTTTTGTACCTTACATCGTAAACTTTTATTTTCAGGCCTTTCAGCCCTCAACAACATATTAAAAAATTACTACTACACCACCAAAAATCCCTACTGACTGGACTAAAGCTGAAACCACTGAACAGGCGATTTGACCAGAACAATTATTGAATTCCTGTTTATTTTCTTGTCCAAATAAGTATAAATTGTACCATGTTGGTTCAGTCCAAGATCAATTGATGTGAACACAGCATTCAAGAAATTTAATTTAATAGTTTTTGAACGTTAACCAAACGAATTTTTGAATTGTGTCGGTATAATAGTCAATTGCAGTTGGTAAGCCCGTATCAAAATGAATTGTTCACTTTGGTTTTAGGCGAGCGTACACCAAAATTTAAAAAATACACAGGATGAGTTTTTTCCGATGTAGTATAAATCTCAAAAATTAAAGTTAAGTGGGGAAAAATTGCAGCTTTACCAAATCATGTGAATACCTTTTTTCATTTTTGATTTTAGATCTAGGATGCAGGTGGCCAAAGTCTTAGACTACAGAATAATTGTTATCTTATGCTAACTAGGCACAAAACTACCAAATACATATTTTGTTTGTTTAAACATTATAAATAATTATTAACTACGACAACAATTAACATTTTCATAAATATCGCGAAAACAAATTTTAAAACTAATTTTTCCGGTAAATTCAGTTATTGCTTAAACAATATAAAGTTATTTCTTAAAATTTGGATGTTTCCGATTTTGAATAGAACTAAAAACACGCATTAAAAAAATTATCAAAATCGGAGCTGTTACTGAGAATTGAGAAGTTAAAACCTTCATTGGCTCGACTAATTATAATATATATTATAGTTGTTCATTTAATGTTATAAAGGTTTTGCCGATTATTAAAATGGCATCAGAATAAATTTGAAGTTTTTCATCACGTATACAAAAAGAAAACGTTTATTAGGTTATGTAGCTCCAATTACGTTCTTATCGACAAGGAAAAATCAATCTACATTTTAATTGGCGCCAACTACTAATAGTCAACAACATACAGGAGGTGTCGTTGACATGTGTTATTGGTAAAGTAGTACGTTGCTTACGCGCCGCCGTTCCGAAGTGGGACAACTTTTACGTCAATTAATTGCAAAAAATCCCATACTCTTGACGCCATCCAGTCTATTTGCGTTTCTTATTTCGAGGCACCTGCACAGTTCGAAAATCGGTGGGAATCTTTCGAAGAAATGTAACCCTAGGCCACGAGAGTGAATCTCCACGAAGGTCATAAGTTACATAAGTACAGAACTTCAAAATACGGAAATGTCATTGACATTTAGGGAAAAGCGAACTTCTACGTCCAAACTTTCGCTTTAGTAATTAAAGCAATTTAAAGGTTATGACGCAAATTGAATGGCGCATTGAAGTCTAAACAAAATGAAGGGCCGGCCGTCTTGTCAAACGAGTCTATGAAAATGGCACTGTTTGCGTACTGTTATTTGTTTGTTTTTTCCCAGAAGTTCAGGTGTTCTTCGTTTTCCCCTCAAGCTATCTGGGATTTTGAGTCGCACCTCGGATAATCCCACCGCTTACAAGTCGATTACGCATACGGAAAATCGCGGCCTTTGCTTCTCTTCATTCTTGTAAGGATTCTTTTATTTACACCTGGTAACGATAAAGCAATTAGTGTTATCTGCACATTTTGAAATTACGTAAGTGCATCAACGGCTAGGTCATCGTGAAATGGGCTGATGGGATTTGTATTTAAACAATCGTTATACCTATCATTGTTTAAATACTTTATAAACAATAGTATAGGTAACCTACTCTTTGCAATTATTGTAGGAGGTAAAATGTCGAAATTTCGTAAAAACTGAGATTCTGGGTCTCAGCTAGCAACTTGCTTAGATCCAAATTTATGAAACTTCAAAGACTAAAAACTTTTTTCCTAGAGGCGAACGCGAAATTAACCACCTTTTGCAAGGCGCCCAACTGTTCCTTAAAGTTAGAATCGCGACCTCTCTTTCTCGTGTCTCGAGCTATGAGAAGTCCGCCAAAAATTGAGTAGTTTTGTAGAGGGTTTTTAGTGAAATCCATTAATATGCGAATTGCGGGTGAACGGGGAGGTCGAATGTGGGTACCCATCCAGGGAATGTGGTAGCTCCCAACAAGATCTTATTGATGGTGGAGTGAAAATATCAAATGGAATCCAATGGAATACTGATCTGTCACAAAAATGCACCGAAGTCCCTTCGATCTCACATGAGGATTTTCATTATTTTTTCTGTCAACTATGAAGAGTGGCGTTAATAATATGTAAATGAAATTAGTGTTCTCTGAAAATCTGCGGTATTCTATGGTAATCGCTCGCATTTTGGTGCTCGTGGATACGTTTAAATCAGGAATCATGAATTTATGGGTTGCTGTAAAAAATGTTGAACATTGTTAAGGAATATTACAGCAATTCAATTTGGGGTAACGGTTTACGACTCGGATCACCTCACATGTGGTAAGTTCGAATCCCACAACTGGCCAGTAAAGCTGGCGGTCCCGGCCATTGATGCAATCTAAAAACGTCTGTAACCCGGGAGTGTCACCCATACGATAAAAAAATAATAAATTCGGTAGCGAATATAACAGTGCAATTAGAGGAATATTCTGGAAATACGAGGATTCTTTTATAATATTGTAGTGACCGATCTGTGCCCATGCGTCATTAACTTGTGAATCAATTTCAGACCTACGTGTATGTGTGCCGAAACACTGTACCATATAGCAAGTGTGAAAACTATATAAACTTAATTGATTCATAAATCAATGGCGCAGGGGCACAGAATTATAGATTTTGGACCGCAACTAAATATGAAATTTACTTGGGTTTTGTTTTATGATAGAATGATCAAAAGCTGTACAATAGCTCAGCAAAATTTGTTGTTCTCTTTTCTGCAAAAACCGTTTCATTTTAAATTTAGAGATGTAATTACTACCCTTATTTTTCAGTGCAGAATCTATTAATGAACAGAAAAGGGGGGTCTTAACACTCACAAACCTTTCGGGCAGTTTTTATATAGGGTGTTTCATAAACGATCGGCAGACATTTTTGTGTGTCCAAGACCCCAAAATATGCTAAGAAAGTCCCTATAAAAATGTGTCCGAAGACGCTTCCTAAGTGAAGTACACCCCCAAACAGGGGTAAGCACTCAGATAGAACTAATGAATAATTGATTCAAATTTTGTGTGTACCCGTTACGGATGCGGAACTACCGTTTGTGCTTATTTTTGTCGTGATAGCCATCCAGTGGTGGTGCATACGGGGAATGAAAATTCAAGCAACTATTGTGAAATTGGTTTCTCCGTATGTAGCGAGTGCACACAAAATTCGAATCAATTATTATTAGTTGCGTCTGAGCTATGAGCAACAATTGTTTGTGTTATTTTAAGGGCCATACCTCAGTTAGGAGGCGTTTCCGAAATTTTTTGTAATTTTGGCATCTAGAACACGCCCTAGAATTTCTGCCGGAGTATTTATTATTGCTATACGTCTTTCGCTATAGAAACCGTTGCACGTCATTGATTTGTGTATCAATTTCAGACATATGCTGCAACACTGCAACATGTACAAAAAAAAAACAAGTGTGCGAAATCTATAGAAAACTTGTCTGAAATTGATTCATAAATCAATGACGTGCATCGGTTTTTATAGCGAAAGACGTATATAACAGAAATGTTTCTCTTTTTATCACTCGAAGATAATTTTAAATTGAGTGTTGACTACTCGTACCCCCATTTTGCTCGAAATGCACTCCACTTGAATTCCTTTAATTCGGTTGAAAAACGTTCTCAAATTCTCAAATTAAAATTTTATCTAAACTACGCAGTTGACAATCAGAAGGTCAGCTGCTTCTGGAGAAACCAATTCATACGTTAAAGACTTACGCTCTAATGACTTAATCAACAATACAAAATGGCGAATTGCTACTCAATATGGACGTGTTTAAAATTTAATTAATTAATTTATTTATTTTGCCTTTTTTTTGAGTGGGCGGGGCTTCAGCCAAGGCTGCTCCACCAACCCAACCCACTATACGTTTACAAATATCTATGCCCGAACCCGGATTCGAACCAGGGACCCTTAGCACCGCAGTCCAGTTTCAACTGAACTGCGCCACACGCGTCGGCCAATCCCCTCACATCAAAAATGAACTAGGGTCATAAATTTTCTCCTCGATTTTTTTCAAACGAGCTTACTAAAAAATGTAATCCTATATTGCTACTAAAAACTGAAAAGGATGTAATTTGAGCTATACCCTAGAGTTTGAGACGCTTAACACTTCTGGGACCATCCAAAGAACAACAAACTCATTGAAAACAATCGTAAAATGACGTAAACGTTACCACTGTCCACTACTATGAACTTTTTACTACCAGAAGCATTTTCACTTTAGGTATTTATTCGAAAAACTTGAGAAATTTAAATTTAAAATAAAAGCTACCGACACACCTGGAGCAATTGCACTTTATAAATGGTAATGAATATCAAGCAATTTTAGCACAAAATTTATTGCCATCAGTTGCAATATTATCACTTGATTCACCCACAACTATTTAGAAGTGGGGCAAAACGCAAACAATAGCAAATTTTTTTTAATTCTTAAAAATTAAAAATTTTTTTAATTCCTAAAAATTTAGAATTTTTGTAATTCTTAAAAATTTAAAATTTTTTAATTCTTAAAAAATGCGCTAAAAATTGAAAATGGTATGTTTCTATTAAAAAACATCAAGATGGCGCAAACTTCCGGTATTTACTGAAACGGCGCCATCTTAAAATGGTTTTATTTCAATTCGCAATAGTCGATTATGGCTGTGAACCAAATTTAAATTTCAACTGCAAGTTTAGAAACTTCTAACGGAACGCCTACTATAACTAGAAATTCGAAGTATCGCTTTTTAAAGGAATTTGTTGGAAACCATGGAGTACACCCTTTTTCACCGTCAAGGGTAGGTCTAGCAACCGGGTGCCGTATTCCGTATTGCGAATGCAAATTTCTATCATTTAATTCGCTTGTGCGAGTACAACTTTCAGGGGCGACACGAATGATGAGAACGAAGGCAATCAGAATTCCAAACTTTGGAATCTTAAAATTATACATTTAATTGTTTCCGACATGAACGCAATAGATGTAAACAATATTTACAAGAATCATTCTAATTACGGCGATTACGACCGGGCAAATGTTCAAGCTCGTTAAAGACTTCTCACGTAGCCAAATTTTTCAGCAATTGGAATTGAATTAGGGCCTACCAAGAATAACAATTACGGTCTAATACTAATTTAATTTCTAATGCACCTTTTCTTGGACTTGATTACGTAAGCGTGAGGCTGATTAGAGACTGCGGGGGGTTCGCGATGGGAGGCTTCATTATATAATTGTATAATTTGTTTTGTGCATAGTTGAAGACAACAAACTCGTTAGTCTCGCATTATCTTAATGTGCATTAATTTGAGAAGTAGAATCGGTGATATGTTTCTACGCACCAATTGCTCACGAAGGATCTGTTTTCTTGATGCTCTCAATTGCCTATTAAAATAACAGTGTTTCAAATAAACAACGAAACAGATTGATCTAGAGCTAATGATTGGCTTCCACATAATGTTGGCTGCATTTTGCTAATTCGGACTTGCTTTTGGCTTTAAAATTCGGCACCAAAACGACAATCTTAAACTTCAAGAAGATGAGACATTGCATCGCATCAAATTGGTAGCAATTCTCAGTTGGAATGCAAAATTATACGTATAATGATAGCTCGCATACGTAACCTTTTTAACCCTTGGTTTAGTTGGGATTTGGGAACAACTTATTTTGATACCAATGGACAACGAAAAAATTAACATTGATTGTAGAGCATTTTTACCTGGTAACGCACTCAAGAGATGAGCGACAATGAACTGAAAGAACTCAAATATCTTGTGCTCCCTCAGATACCTCTGTGCCCTACGCATCAACACACTTTTCCCCACTGGCGCCTCCTGTTCCATAGCTACTTCCGTTACAGTTCGCCGCACTCCCTCTTTTTGTACCCGATAAGCCTCCTGCTGCTCCTCCTCGATTGCCTCCGCGTCCAACCCCATCAAATAGTTCAACCTCCCCTCTTTCCACTCCACAGAAACGCTGGATTCCGTTTGCGTTTCGGACGTAGACTCGCTCCCGTGCACGGTAACTTCGACGCTTTTACTTGACGTCGTCGATTTTAGTGATGGCGTGTGCGTTTCGGGCTGTAGTTCCGCGTCAGTTCTGTAAACCTGTCGCAGTTGCCTTTCTTCTTCGTCGAGTTGGAGCGCCGTCTGCAATGAGGCGAGGTTGCGGATTCCAAATCCTGTGACGAGAATTGAGGGCATGGGTTCAGAGGAAATATCGCCTGTTATGGTTTCGAATAGTGGCTTTCCAGCGGAACCTATGTGATCCAGCAACTCCTTTTTCATGGCAGGGGTACGCTGCCATGTATCCTCGTGCGGTATTGCCACTTGTGGCGTGGCACCTTTCACCACAACCGACGTGTGTCGTTTTTTGCGAGGGGCTAAAGCGTCTAAGGGTGACATGGGTAACACAATCGTTGAGAGATACCTGGAGGTTCCCGCAGCATCGGCGCTGATCGTATGGATTCCTGCGCAAGACTTTCAACGAACTCATCACTGAGCGATTCATCACTATACACCGCCCTAGTGTCGGAGGAGGTCATTGTGCGAAATGATTTCGGCTCCTCGGTGATGGTAGAAAGGGAGTTACGGTTGTCAAGATTTCTCCGTACCTGATTATTAAGACGTAGAAGTTCCTGTGCTGATTTTCTGCTACCCTGAAACGGAGAAGAAAATGTTTGGAGTAAACAACACAACGACATAAACTTGCATTTGGTGGTTTTTCGATTGGGGGCATAAAAGATTACAAGTAAGATACGTATGCAGTTTTTGTTTGGCAAATTAGTAATGTCAAAAAAAAAATAACAAAACTGCTTCTCAGCTGCCTAATGAGTTTGGCGAAATTGCAGTTTTCTCCCTCCTTCTCTTTTTGCACAAGGTCCTTGAGCTCCAAAACTTCAGAAAATGTTAATTAACCATTTCATTCATTCTTTCTGTGCGTTTCATTATTGTTTTATGTATACTTTATCTTCCCCTCTCCCGTCATGTCTGGGTTACGGCTTACGGGCTTACTCACATGTTGATTTCGCGGACGATAACACGAAATTTCTTTGAATTTTCAAATGGTTCTCGGAACGCTGTCTTGCTGGTGTATCCTTGTATTTTAAAAGTTACGAGCAAACCACCATTTTATTGGTACAACTGTTTGAGGTTAACGAGTTTGACCAAAAAATTGGAAACACTAGGTGAGATTATTACAACTAAGGATCCCGCGCTAGTAGAAATGGCTTTCTAAATATTGCTAGATAATCCGCAATCCTATCGACTCTATCCCTGATGGTCAAAAACCTGAAATCTTCCCCAAAACTAATTCCCACTATTATCTTTACTAAGTACTGTCCCATTTTAATATGACGTGTAATAACTAAGTCCGCCATGTGTTTTAATTGCGCCAATTGAAATTATTATTTTCACGAAAACACATAAGAAAGAGGTGGAGCCAAATATCCAAATGTTGTTGACTGATCTCCTCTTGCTGAAGATAGTGATCTAATGCTGAGCTAGCAATTTTAACCCAATAGCACTAATTAAGAAGACGAAATGAATGACTGAATGAAAATGTATAAACTGTTCTTGTTTAGGATTCCAAAATTCCAAACTCCACAAAGAAATTTAAAAAAAATTTAAATGCAAACTTAGAGCACCGTCACACTAATAATAATAATAATAATATATTTGATCCTTGTGACATATATATCTACATGTATAGGATAACGTCGATGTTCTTACCTAATAATAAATTATCATTGTTAGTTCGGAGGAGTGCCAGAATCATTAAGAAATTCGTCTACGCTGTAGTATATATTTTGTAAAAGAAACCTATTAAGCTCGCGCTTGAGGATGTTTACGTGTTTAGCGTTTTTAATATTGTATGGAAGTTTATTAAAAAATTTTTATTCCAGTCACATAAGGACTGTCTGTATGAAGTTTTGATTTGCCGATAGGTATCCTTAGATCAGTGTTCTTCCGGGTATTGTGTCTATGTATATCGCAGTTTTGCAGAAACTCTTTTTTATTGCAGAAAACATATTTACTTACTTCTAACATATACAAGCTCGGAAGAGGCAGAATTTGTATGTGTGAGAACATTGGTCTGCAAGACTGTGTAGGTTTTGCTTTAAACATGCATCTTATGATACGTTTTTGTATTATAAAGGCGTGTTTCATTGTGGACGAGGAACCCCAGAAACACAGCCCGTACCTTAGTCACGATTCAACGCATGCGTGATAGAACGTTTTTAGTTGCCTCAATTCGAGATAAGAACGAAGATACCGAATTTGGTAACAACAGGAGCTTAATATCTTTATTAAGTGTTCATTCTGTTGTTTCCAACTCAGTGTGTCATCAAAAATAATTCCAAGAAACTTGACGTTGTTGGATTTTTGTAGAGCTAGACCGGGAATAGAAATATTCGTATCTAGAATATTTCTATTTTGGTAGTTATGAAATTGTACAACTTTGGTTTTACTCTGATTTAGAAACAAAACATTATCAGTAAACCATTTCGACAAACTTTGTACGGTTATAATACATTTTCTTAGTAATTCATTCTTATCTCGATGTGAGACGACCGCAGTGGTATCGTCGGCATATAGAGTAAGGGTTGCGTCGCCTTTTATACAGTTAACGATGTCGTTTGTGTATAGCGTGAAAAGAATAGGTGCCAATACGGTACCTTGTGGAGTGCCAATGTCTAAGTCAATCGTATCAGATGTAAGATTGATCGTATTGTTGTCAATGTTATGATTTAGGGACACAAACTGCTTTCGGTTTTCCAGAAAACTTTTTAGCCACATAAGAGAGGTTCCTCGAATTCCATAACTGGATAATTTTTGAAAAAGCCTTTCATGGTTGATGCAGTCGAATGCTTTCGTAACGTCACAAAAAATCCCAAGTGGTGCCTCTTTATTTTGAATATGATGAAGTATTTTCCGATAGTAGAAATGTATGGCATCGGATGTGGACATGTTGGGTCTAAAACCAAATTGATTTGGTACTAGTATCTCCGATTTTTTTATAAAACGCTCTAACCTATCTAAAAAACAGTACTCGAATATTTTTGAAAACACTGATGTAATCGAAATAGGTCTATAATTGTTGGGGTTGTTTAGATCACCTTTCTTGTGTACGGGCACCACTTTAGATAATTTCAGGGTTTCTGGGAAGCGACCAGTTAAGAGTGATAAATTAATTAAGTAAGTTAAGTGAATAATTATGGCTGGAGTGACTTGTCTGATCAGAAAACAGGGAAAACTATCTGGACCTGAAGACCTCTTGCTCTTAATTTTTTTGTGCACTATTTCTAGAACCTCTGATTCACAGAATGGTAAAAGATACATCGTTCTATGATTAGAAGAGATACCAGAGAGGGATGGACAGTTTGCGTCCCGCACTAGATTATTAATAATCTCCAGAGGAGCACGTTTGAAGGAGTGGTTGAGATAGTTTGCTACCTCCACCGGATCTTTAATGAGGCCTCTGTCTGTTTGTAGATTAATGTCTTTGATACCCTTTTTTATTTTGTTTCGATTTATGAAAGTCCATGTGCTTTTGACCATGTTATCGGATGTTAGGATCTTGTTTTGTATGTTTGTTTTACGAGTAGTAAGGATTAGCGCTATGTGCTCTTTTTTCTTTTTCACTAATCTAGCCCTCGCCCCCTTAAACGCTTAACCGAGCTTTTAGGAGAATTTTGAGAACATTTCCAAAGTTTCTTTTTAGAGCTAGAAGTATCTAGGATTGTCTAGAAAGGAACAAAGGGCGCCTGTCAGTGAAAAACCACGTGAAAATATACAGTTGTCTTCTAAGTTCTCTCCACAATATTAAGAGATTTTTCCGAATAATTAAATGCTTTCCAAACGGTTTTAGGTCCTTTCAGAGCCTACTAGGCTCCTTTGAGACTTCTTTTAGCCCTCTGGATCAGTTTCACAGTAATCTAAGGGCTTGTTACACCTTTTTCAGTGCGTTCTAGGGCCGTATTATTTATAAACACCTTTCCAGTTTGTTTTAAGTGATTTTCGGGGTTTATTAGGTTGTACTCTTCTGGGGACTCACGGACTCACGCTATCGCTGGACGTTCCGTACAGAGCCTAGGTTTTCTCTCACTTCAAAACCGTGTGTGGAAACTCGCAAAATAGTGCTGCCTTTATAATCGTTTGGGTGATCATTCTAGTCGATTTTAGACATATGCCAGGTCAGCGCTTTGAATAACAAAAGCCGAACAGCCGTTGAAAACCCTCCCAGATTCTATAAGGTGCTTCTAGAACACTTGCTAGAGCGTTTCCAGAGAGTTCTGTCGCCTTCTCTCATTATCTCAGCGATGATGGTTTGGAAAGGCGTTAAAACGCTTTAGAAAGCAATTATAAAACAGTGTAACCTTGTTGGTATGGTATCGCTTTCTAATTCGTTTACACAGCATTGTTTGTTTTTCCAGGACTGTTTGTCCTTTTCCACAGCTTTTTAGATCCTTCTCACGGCCTTCTCTGCTATACTTGTTTGGAATTGCTGCTCAAATATACCTGTTTTCTTCCTTTCGTCTTTCGGCAATGTATTCTTTCCATTTCTCAACGGAGAAAAAATTCTTTATGTGATGGTTTTGTCCGTTTGTGTGTCCGTTTGTTCTTCGTGTAACTCGAGAACGAAAAGAGACAACGCTGTCAAACCTTCACTAATTCATTTCTATGAATTATTCAAGGATCAGTACTATAGAATATGAGCCGGATTAAAAGTTCCTTTTCTGAATGTGGCAAAAAAGTCTCTACTGAAAATCGTATGCGATTCTTCATACGTTATTTTTCTTGTTGCTAAGCTCTTATGTGTTCTGTATCACCTATTATATAATTTAACCGCTTTTCACGCAGAGTCGCTATTAAAGATGGAACCAAAGCTTTCACGCTCAAACCGTTTGAGATATAGGCATAAAAATTTAAAATTATTTCACATATTTTGAGGTTACACATTTTTTGATGACACACGGTTTATGAGTACAACCGCCATCTTGAATTTTCTAAATAGCAACATAGGTCATGTGATACGTCCTTAGAAAGCTTATTTTTAGGTAGCTTCCTGTCTACCTATTGTAATGGTACCAGCAATTTATGGGTTTATATATATATCACTTCCAAGAAACACTCTAACTTTCGTAATTATGAACCGATTTCAACCATACTTTATAAGGTTTGAAGTTTTGAATATTAAAAAGAACTACGACTGTGTTTTTTATTTTTCTAAAAAGCGATCGATTTCTGGTTATGAGTTACCCATCATCAGGCTATGCGTCAATGATATGAAAAAGCAGCGTATTCATATCATTGACGCATAGCCTGATGATGGGTAACTCATAACCCGAAATCGATCGCTTTTTAGAAAAATAAAAAACACAGGCGTGGTTCTTGTTAATATTCAAAACTTCAAATCTTAGCAGAACCAGAAAATGGAGAACTTCATCACATACAAACGTTAAGGGTTCGTGTAACTCATAAATATCTCGGTCAAGTTCGCGAATCAGCCAATTTCGCCATATTGGAACAAAATGGCGGAAAGAAGTCTACCTACACTTGATCGGCCGAGCCGAAAGGAATTTCTTGTTCTCTTTCTTACCACCTTAATCATGAATCATGAAAAATTCTGTGAAATGATCCATATTTCACAAAATTTAAATTTAAAGTGCAATACATTGGCAAACCAAGCATATGGCAAGCTTTTGCTAACTTTTATGTATTATTTTTTAATTTAAAACCATACATGTTTATAGTAATAAGAAAGAGAAAAAAATAAGCTCTTTAACGACGTATCATGGACCTATGTTACCATTTAAAAAATTCAAGATGGCGGTCGCGCTCAGAAACCATTTGTTAAAAGATTTTTTTGTCTGGTATATTTTAATTTGATCGCTTCTCCATTTCCCTTTT